AAGCTTCACAGGACGTCTGTTTGCTACCGCGATCTCGCCTACAGGAAGCCATGACCACGTGTCACGGCAGGGAAAATGGCCGCGGATCCTGTTCGTCATCCGATGCGGAGTTTGCGAACGGAAGCAAAATTTTGCGAACGGTGCTGGTCGCGAACCGAATTGTTCATGAACAGAAGCGTTCGTGACCCGAGGTACCACTGTATATGTTTTCCTTGCTATCCACATAGGAATGTAACTGTAAGTATGTGGAAATGTTATAAGAAAAATCAGAAATTAAGGAGGCAACACATTAGAGTGGGGTTTACATAAGTTGTGCTTATAGGTTACGATATAATTAAGATGCTGTACAATAGCACACATTCAGAGAATCTACTTTATGTAGTCAAACCACTTTATGCTTAGTTTGTGTGTCACCCTGTCTCCCAAAACCTAAAAAATGAAATGCCTGGTATTACTGCACACTTGCATAGTAAAGATTTCAGAGATTTCTTTGTGGAAGACATGTACATATTATAAAATTTGGCATATATTGTATCCTCCCACTTGCCTATTCCATATTGTCTATCCCCGATGGGTCTTACTTTGTTAACATTCAACCTTTATTGTATGAGCCACCATTTTATTGACCACCAATAGTATCTGTTTTAGGAGATCAAGAAGAAGACATAACAAAATGATCAAATTAATTCCCTTTTCATCTGTGGTGTTTTCTGCCAACAGTTGAGGTTTATAGAGCTTTGTTTTAAAAATTCTGCATCATTTACAGTAATCTGCACAGCACTTCATAAGCTATTATTGATCACTTTTGAATAAAATACACTGACGACATGAAATGTTTCTGCTTTCTAAATGCTCATAAAGTCATTACGACTGCTTTCATTTGACAGCATATAATAGTTGTTAAAGGACAATGCTGATGTTTTCATTTATTTGACATTATATTTTAAAAAATAATTCGGTACATCTAATACTTATCAAAGTAATTTCTGCTCCCTATGCTGATGTTAATATCCATTCAGCATAAGCTTTAATGGAGCTTTATACTTTGAAGATATTGTTTGGTCTCTCTTCATCTTCTGTTTTCTGCACAAAAAGCATTAAAACATATTTTGATTTTTTTCAAATATTTATTTAACCTAGGCGCCTTCATGAAGCTACATTTAAAATATGAATGACACAAGAAGACTCTGTTAGTAGAAACAACAACAGATGGTAACAAATGCTTGTGTCATGGTACAGTTCAATATGAAGAGAATTTAGGAAAAATTGGCCACATTTTATGCTGTATTAATTTCAAGAAAGACACTGAATGGTATCATATTGTTGACAACAGGTTTAATTCATGCCTCAGCACAAACCTATGAAAATGAAACATTAAACCAGGAAGGTTTAACGTTTATGCTTTCACTGGGTAAGTAGATGATGATAAGAAGGCAGAATGTAATACCATACAACAGAGATATACCTACTATAAAAACATGCTGCTGTTTTTGCATAATTATAATTATTTGATCAGTGCAAAAATGTACTATAAACTGAAATATTATTTTCTGGGCATAAGTTTTAGCAGTTAAAAGTTACAGTAAAGCCACTTATGATTTGATGTTTGATTCATAAAATCCAGAAGACAGTCCAAGATTTAAAAAATATTAATATTGTGCACCATAAGATCCAATAAATAAACACTAATTATTTGAAAATGTATATATTTTTTTCAGAAAAAAAAACCAAAGTACACAATGTAATAAGAAAGGAACACACTAAACTGCCACATTTGTTCAAGGGATAGGAAAACTTGTTTGTGTAGTCATTCTCTGTATGGTCCAGAACAAAGAACAAAGAGGCTATTGCCACACATTGCCAATGTTAATTCACACTCATTTAGCTAAATCAGATATTATTCTCTAATGAGTAAGTTGCACAAATCTAAAGTTTCTGCTTCATTAAGAGTCTTTTCCTTCACAACTACTGCCGGCGCATCAACCATTTTTTTATAATCTGTGAGGTAAGTTTGAACCAAAGAAATATGTATACTGTGGCAATATGTGTTTTAAAGGATGATTAGCAAGGCAGTTACTATTAAAGTTTGTAAACATGTTACTGAAACACTAGAGATTTAATGGACAGCTGTCAAATCAAATAATTGATTAGCATGCTTTGTAATCATGGTACCCTAAGGTGCTTAAATATGCAAGGGGAATCACAGCATAATTTTTCTACTTTAGAAAACATTTAGATTGTATGCCATATAACAATATATTGTAAATGTTTTTACAAGAATGATAAAAAGCAAGCAGCTAGGTACATGCACATAAAGTTCTTTTTTCATTTTAAAGAAGTCAAGCAGTTTAAAAGATGCACACTTGGAGTCTGATAAACAGGGATTTCTTGTTTACTGAACTCTTCTAACCGTTTAACCACATCACCACATCAAGCTGCTTGACCATTTTATAATGAAATTTTAAATGAGCAAATACCTAAACACTAAGTTGCCCTCAAAACTGAATTAACCAATTGCAAGTAATGGCATTGCATCAAAGTTGTTTCCACTCCAAACCCGCAAAAGCATGATCTGACTCAGAAATGTTGAGAACACTGAACAAAGCTGAACATCGCTGCCCTGCCCCAAACTATTGCAGATTATGAAGCAACCCAAAGTCTTTCATTCCAGTCAGTAACAAAGGGAAATGAACATCCCTCATTGGGGGGCGGAAATCGGAAAATTGACAGAACCTGTTCTTTTCAGCCCTGCTAATTTCATATGGGGAATAGAAAGCTGACAAGGCACTTTTCCTCTTGCAAGTTCTGCTAGCGATATTCAACCCACTGGAAGAAGGGGCTGAAACACAAGTCCCCTCCAATGAGAAACTTTTCAAGCTAGTTTCATAATAGTTTAGCTATAGTAAAGATGAGGTGGAAATAAATCAGTTCAGATCTCAAACAGGACTGACATCCAGAGCTGCATTTGAACTCCACAGAATCCTTGTGTGGAGGCACCCAATATTCAGAGCCAAGTTAAGAGGTGGATGCTTAATTTGTTTACTAAAAAGGGAAAAATACAGTCTATCAATGCATTTAAAGAATGCTACAAAACTCAATAAATTTTAATTACTGGAAGATCATAGAACTGCTCCAGTGGTTCTGTAGTGTGTTGAATAAGCTTTGCACGTAAGGAGTAATAAATGAAGGTGTTAATTTCACAGCATCCCTAGAGAATAAGAGAGGAGAAGGTGCCAAATATATCTTAGTTTATACACTATAGTAAATTCTTACTACATTGTTAATCAGCCTTGCCTTGAGCCCCTCTATACTGAAGGGTTTGAAGACATGGTACTGCTAGGATCACTCACCATTCTTATTCTTAAAGATGTTTAAAATAGGGAGAATCTGACGATAATAGGGCACTAAAGCTTCCCCCACCATATCAGCTGACACCACCAGGTGCTGGAGGACTTTGAGCGTGATGCAGATGACCTGTCGGTTTCGAAGGTTCAGCGCATCTTTGATGAATGAAAAAAGACAAGCAGAAAACAGAAGAATTAATTTCAAGAATGTAGAAGGGAGGGGAGAAATCCTCTAATGGACAAATTTAATTAAACTGTACTCTGCTGGGGATTGTAAGTGGGCCTTTATTAGCCTGGCTTTGAAGGAACCCAGAGATGGATTGCAGCCCCAATGTTATAAAACACTGCCTTGTCTGAATGTTATTTGTTCCCGCAATTTGTGCTGACTCCTCAGTAACCCCAAGAAGGCAGCTTATTATTCCTTCTTGCTGCCTGTCTTACTGGTTCCTACCACCCCCACCCCCCAAAAAAAGAAGAAAGAAAAAGGAGGGGAAAAAGCCATCAGCAAGTACCACGGGGACTAATGGAACTGAAAAGGCAAACCATGAAGGTTGACGAGACATTCTACTGTAACAATTAGCCTGTTTATTTTTGCTTGCTTAGCAATCATTTTATTCATTTCAATTAACAATTGGTACTATTCGGAAAAGAGAACAATGATAGAAATGTTTACAAAGAAAAGCTTATAGGCTTCTTTTAAAAATACAGACTAACTGGTAAATAAGGATTCTATCCTGCCTACTTAAGAATTTTTTGTGTAGTGTCAGACAGCTGGATTTTGCTACTGACATCAATAATACCTTTTGTCCTGTTCCATTTCAGATTTCATACAAAACAAAAGAATAATGTTGTATTCTCCTTTGTATTTCAAAATTATATTTTCAAATGCAAATTTAAATCCAAATGTCTTCATGTTCCTGCCCTCCCACTTTATATACTATTATATATTAGGGAGCAAATGCCACAAACTGTAGATCACCACACAGGGGCTATTTGAATGTAAAGGGGACCAGAAGTGAAATCATTCACATGGCAGAATTAGAAAGCTCCATTACATTGTTGCACAGCGGCAAAGTGTAAAGTCCCCAAGCATAAAAACTTTCACCCCATTCTACCTATTACGGACGTCAAGTTCCAAAAGGAGACTAGAAGGGATAAGTGATGTGCCAATGGATAAGCATGAATATTATGGATATAGAATGGGAAGGAAAGGAAGGATTGCCAAATTTGAGCAATGAGCAGTAATCAGACCTTTCTTTTCAGATCTCAGCCTATTTCCTCCAGCTCCCAGGCTTTCCTTTCCCTTGTTCTTCACTCTCATCCTTCTGCCTTTTTACCTTTTCTTCTCTTGCTCTTTGCATGATCACCCAAAACAGTAGCAAGCCCAGCTAAGCAATCACTTTCCCTGCACAACAAATTCACTTGCCAGAGTTTTTTCCTCTGCCAGAGTCTCTGTTCCCCAAATTCAGTGATCACTCAAGTGGGCTGTCAAAATCTCAACAAAGCTGTGACTGCAGGAGTTCTCTTCTGATTATTTCATCATTATCTTACTATATACACCCTATGTTTTTGTATATATTTGAAGATTTTTGAGTGCCTTCTCTCTGATAGTTCAGCAAGAAAGTCTCCTTCCTACTGGGAGCACATAGGACTGGCAACTTCTCAATTATGCCTTTCTTTAAAATGGTACACATGCAGCTTTCCATGTTGGACAACATGCCATGGTTTCCAGGAATGCAGGGTTTGGGCAACGCTAAGAACAGTTGCCCTTTACCCAATTTCCTTTAAATTATGGATTGCAATGATTTAATTCAAACCCATTATTTTGGGGAGAGGAAAGGCTAAAGAACCATAGTGGAAGGAACTGGACTCTGCTTCTTACCAACAGTTCTAGTAGCAAACTTCTAGATCTCCAGTATGGAAAACTAGGGAGCTCTAAACAGTTTGGTGGACACAATACTTAACTCAAATACATGATGTGAAATCTTTTCTGGAGTATTGCCCCCAGCATAGTATTAAAAGGTTAACATAACCTTTGGCCCAAACAAAATTGTGCACTGCTGCATTAAATTAATTCAGAAACATTTAAAATATTTTAAAACACGTCAAATTCTTTGGCACATCAGTTTCTCGATATCTAATCTCTTTAAAATAGAGAATGTTTTTTTTCCCCTTTTGAGTTCAACTGAATTTTTACCCTGTTGCAGCAGAAATATTTCAAAACATGGCTCAGGCTAAAATTCAGCTATCTGCAATAAGGTTGGTTCATTTCTAACTCAATAAATAAGTATTGTGCTAGTTGAAAATGTGATAAAGCTATATTTCCTAATATTGCACTAGTTGACATTGTGATGAAGCTGTATTTTCTTAGATAGTATTATATTGCGGTGTAATACCCTGTATTACTGTGACTACTTGGATTTTTTCCAGCAACACTGAAAATGAATGAAATGTGCATTTTGTTATGTTTTCCTTTAAAAACAAAACAATGACATCTATGGGCAGGAGAAGCATGCAATCTTAAATCATGGCCTCCCAGTGTTACTGCTAGGCAGGGAAAGGAGCTCGCAGAATATCTAGCCACGTGAGTGAGAAGCACACCTACCCCTGTATTTGACAGATACTACTTTTATCTGGCCAGATTGCTGTGTGGCATTCTTCCAAGATGAGCTTGGAATTCCTCCTATGGCTGATGCAGATTCAGAATCTCTAAAAAGCATCAGTGAATCAAGTAGCAGCATTAATATATGAAGACAAGTTATACAGCTGTCCTAGCCAGGGGCTTCATCAGATACCATTTTGTTTGTTATTGTGCATCTTAAATTTACTCTGTGAATTGTTTTGCCAGATATTTTATAGGCAGTTGTTGGGTAGAAAGAGACATATACATTTTCCAGATATTAAAAATATAATATATTGTCACAGTTATCTTACACATAACTTGAGAGTTGATTTTAGACACTCCCAGGAACTGATCATTTTGGAAAATTCCAACAACCTGACTTTAGCTCAATTACAGCTAATGATCAGAGAATGAGTACATCTGGTTCCTTATGCTGGTCAAGCAGCAAGGTCAAGTCTGTACCATTGATGGGTATATATTTGATATTATGCCCACCAGCAAGCTGGAAACCCCTGTTGTAAGTGCCAGGTCATTAAAATTTGTATCTTGGGGTTGAAACTAAAGGAGTACAGTAATAAACCTGACTAATTAATTTGGAAGAGGAGCCAAAAAACAGATGTCCTCATAGATGGCTGAGAAAGACCTTTCCACTTCAGTGCTAACATTTGGAACAAGCCCACATTTTTATGCCACTTTTAACATTTGCATGAACTTTACTCTTAGAATTTGAATGTATCTCTTTTATGCATCCTAGCTGGTGTTCCCCTCTATCCAGTGTAACTGAAGAGATGCTTAATATTTTATATTATAGAGACAAGTATGTATAATACTTTAATCCTCTCTTTCAATAAATTATCAAAAAAGAAAAGACATTTATATTAGTTATAAGCCTGAGAATATATATATTGTATGTACAGTATAAGACTCCAAAAGGTATTCAAGCTTTAAAAACAATATGTCCCCAAAGACATCAGTAGGGATCTTTGCTAGATACTACATAAGTGAAATACAACTAGATTCTACAGTCAAGGTCCTAAAATGGCTTCAGCAAGTCAAAAGTATTCCACCTTTGGGCTGCTAGATGTAAACCACCTCTGACAACCATCTTTCACTTTGTTCCATTCGGCTGGGAAAGGGCTTTATGAAGATGGGGAGGACAAAACCCATAATGCTCTCTCTACCATAGCCAAGAAGTTATAGAAAGGTGGCACCTTGAACTGGCCCAGCTTGGGTAATAAAATATTTAACAGCAAGTGCACAAAAGCAAACATGTCTGAATTTCAAGAAATATTCAGATCTATTTTCAAAGGGCATCTTGCTTTGATTTAAATGATTAAGATAACGTTGAATACCTTTCTAGACAATACATTTACAAACTGCTAACATCTGCCCTCTAATCAATATATTTTAATATGTTCTGATAGATCAGTCCCTAGAGGCCTTCAATACATTTATCCTGAACTATTTTCCTGCTCCTGTGTGCTATTTCCTGTGTTCTAAATACACTTTTAGAAAGCGTTTTGAAAGGCCAGTCAGACAGTAGTGTCTTAACAAAACACAAAATAATAACAGCCAGTTATCTGAAACTAAATGCATTGCATCCAAGGGAATGTCTGAGGCACTGGGTTTTTGGCTGCATTTTATGGTTTTATGGTTTTTATAGTTTGGGGTATTATTGTTGCTGTGGCCTGCTCAGAGTTGTGTTTTAAGATGAGCAGCTGTACATATCTTTTAAATAAAATAAATGGATAAATAAATTGAGGGTTATTTAATTCTCCTATCAAGTTTTAATTATCAAAACCAATTGTTTCTTTTTACAAAGTATCCTTCTTGGCTTTTTTCACTCTAAGCAACTGGAGGATATTCTACAATGTTACTGTTCCTGCTAGTGCTAGAAAAGCAAAATATCTAGAGCAGTGTCGTCCAAACTTGGCCACTTTAAGATGAGTGGACTTCAACTCCCAGAATTCCCCA